CCCTTTCATTCATACGCATGTACTCAGTCTTACTAAAACTGACTTTCAAGTGCAGATAAAAGTTTAAAGTTTAATTTAAATCAAAAACAGAACAAAACAAGAACTATGGAACTTGTGGCAGGGAAACAGGACTAAGAGACATAAACTTGAAACAATAAACCTGAGACTAGAAGCATAACACGATAAAGAAAGACAAACGCAAGACAACCAGCGCAGTGCAAAACGCGACTATATATACTAGTTCTAATTAACCAAAAACATGAAATTGGTGAACGCAGACATGTGAACTGGTGCAGTGGCTGATGGGAATCATAGTCTCCAGTCTTTTCCAGCCTATCCATGACAGTCAGGTGGCGAAACACTGAACAATACTGCACGTAGAACAAAGACACATGGGAGACACAAACCCCCCATATGTCAAAAAATCTACAAACTAATCAAAGGTAAATGGAAACAGGTGTGAATGATCAAGACACATTAGGGAGAAAACCAATGACAAGACATGGGTGGAGACAGGACATGAATCAAAACAAAAACACAAGTGGCAACATAAACAAAGACATAACCCGGAAGTGCATGTCGTGCTGCCGGGTTGCTTAAGTGCTTTTGCACTTGGTGCTCGATTTGAGGGGGAAATACCTGACAAACCCCTCTACAAAAGCTCCCCTGCAGCCACCCTGCCCCTCTGGGCAAAATGTCCACCAAAAACCAAAGGTCCGGAGATAGACAGTTTCTCTCCTTTTGGCTACTACCAAAGGAGCTGTGGAAGCAAACAAGGGGCATATTGGCGGGAAGCAGGTGGTGGGTCAACGACAGGCTGGCCGGGCTGGGACAGGCTCACCAGCATCAGGTGGCAGGAGCAAGGCTTGGGAGGCCACGCTGTTGGTCTCTGGTATGGGCATGTCTTGGGAGGCCTCCTTGTTGGTCTCTGGCATGAGAAGGATTGTGGACGCCGCCCAGTCGGCTGCTGGAGGGAGCTCTGCATGTGAGGCCGCCCTGACAGCCTCTGGCTGGTGCTGGGCTGTGGAGGCCACCCTGACGGCCTCTGGAGGGAGCTCTGCAGGGAAGGACCGCCATGTTGGCCTCAGACTGGAGCTTGGCTGTGGAGGCCGTCCTCTCAGCGTCTGGAAGGAGCTCTTCAGGGAAGGCCGTGTCGTCAGCCTCAGGCTGGAGCTCTGCTGGAGACTTCACTTCCTCTTCATCTCCAGCATTCCTCTCCTCATAGTATATGGTGAACGGCCGAACAGGTTCATCCGACAGACTGGGCCTCCCTAAAAATTTTTCAAGGTCGAAATAAAAGTCCCTCTTCCCATAAATCACTCTCAATAAACAAATGAACTTAGCTATGCTTCCTAGGCCCATGGTTTCCTTGGCGACCAAAAGCTCTGCCCACGGGTGGGCCCCACAGGTGAACCGGGAAAAACATGAACCATTTCTCTTTGGGTTTGAGGTTTGACAATTTCTCAAAATATATTTGGCTCTGAAGCAAGAATCCTTTTTTGATATGGGGCATGGCCCCAGCAGTCCCCGGGGGGCTATATATCTCCTGCAGTGTTTAAAGCATCGAGTAATGAACCTTTTTTTTCTTCTTTTTTTTAATGATATAGATTAGATTAGATTCAACTTTATTGTCATTGTGCAGCCAATGAAATTTTTAATTGCATTTTACCAAATCAGGTAGGCTAATAACATGGTGCTGTCTACCATTTACCTGATACTGAATGCAGATTTATAGGATTAGCTGAACACAACAGCTTTACATCTCCTGCTTAAGTTGTAATAACATACTGTGGTAGATAAATGCTCAAACACACAGGAAGTAGAAAGAGTTATTTTTCAGCCTTTCTCAGCTCTCCTAATTATTGCACACAGGAAATGACGTCATCCTCAGTGAACGAAGCAACACAAATGTTATAGTAGGTGATGCTGTTCGAGTTTTACTTTAAAATGTTTACTTCAAAATAATGCTTTTGTATAACGGCCATTGTGAATAAGTAAGTAAGATCACATGTCACACTGCTATAATAAACATGTTTATCATATTTGGTCATCATGAGCCCTGTGTGAGTGGGAGAAGAGCACTGATCTGGAGTCAGTTTCTGTGACCAACATCCGTATAAACAAAGAGAGGAAACTGATCCTGAATCAGCACTGAGCTACAGCGGCGCTTCAACACAATCAATAATCTCCTAAAAGACAGTAATGTTATTTATAAAATAACAGCACGTGTTGAAAATGTTTAATACACATGCCACGAGAGATAACTAAATATCACCCATCGCCTAGTAACGTAAATACAGAGTATCGCGGCGTGCGCCCCCTATTGTGCAGGGAAGTGGTATGACCCGTTTCCGTAGTAACACATAGTATGCGTTAATACTAACAACACACAAGAACAGCAACAAAAGTTGCATGCTTCGTAAATAAATAAATGGATTAATCAATGAATAAAATATATACATACATGTAGCACACAGGCACATGATTACACCTGCACGATTACATTCTTAAAGTTTACTTAGAAATAAATATTATAAGTATATAAATACAGTTGAAAAGACAGGCTGTGTCTCTAGTGTGATTTCAAACCAGGAAAAGAGTAGTTTCAGAAAAACAACAACAACAACAGAGAGTAAAAATTTAAGAAGAGTTTTTACTGTAAGTGTTTTGGGTGTTTCTTAACATATAGAGGAAGGAAGGATTAATTCAGCAAAAAAAAAAGAGGAAGACACATGCCAGTCTGTGAAAAAGAAACAGCAACACATTTTAACTTGTTTAACAGTTTAAACCCTCAGAGCTGCTCCTCTTATTTCTGTGTTTTTTCCTCTGGATGCAGGAGATAAACATCTCTTAATGAGGTCAGAAATATTTTTTTGCAATTTATTCCGTTTGAATTTTATAAGTCAGTTACTAATTTATTTGCTTATGAACTGAAATTAAACCATAAACTTTATAAGTCAAGTCATTTCTATTACAGAACATTGTCTCAAATCAATATGAAACTTTTTTCTCATTAAAAGGAGACTAGTCCCTTATATATTAAAAAGTTAAATGTATTTTTGTGTCCTGTTCTCCTTTTTTTCTGTGTTTCATTATTGTATTGTTTTTACTCTTTTTGCCACAAGCAAGTGATAAGTATTTCATCTCATTTCTGCTGAAATGATTCAAGGATTTGTTGAAGTGAATCGAGTTTTGTGAGTTTGACTCAGTTGATTCACTACTCATTGGGACTACACACATCTAAACGCTGTGCACAGTAAAGGATGGAAATGCTAGGATTAAAAAACTTAGATAAATGTAGATAAAGCAAATGGAAAAGCAAAAACATTTTCTAAACCCAGATTGTTTGCATTATTGTGTAAAAATATTTTGATTCGTTCACATTTGGGAATCGATTAGTCTGATTCACTTAAATGATTCTTTCGAAAAGAAAGAAAGGGAAAAAAAAGCAAAAAGCGAGACACACCTGTAACGGATAGTTAATGTAACTGCAGGTGAAAACCCACAGCACTTTACAATTATGAACACACTACAGATTTAAAGGTGTTTTAATGACATTAAACCTGAACAGTATTTTCCATCTGTGATGATTATATAGGCAGCGTTGATGATGTCACTCACATTGACTCCTCCCCTTTCTCTGCTGTTTCTGCTCATGGTTTCAGGTGATTTATTTGCAAATATAAACTGTTTAATTTTTCATAAATATATATAAATGTGCATATTTTTCATTTATCCTTGTGCTTTATGCTGTTAGTGTTTGTTCAGCATCAGCAGTTCTGTGTTAAGTTCCTCTTTTCTGCAGCTCTCACTCTCTCTCTCTCTCTCTCTCTCTCTCTCTCTCTCTTCCTCTCCCCTGCTGTACTGCATGACCTGTGGAGCTTCTCACTATGTCCTTTTAGTTAGAAATGAGCTCAGATCTTTGCAGTGGAGAGTTTATGCAGGCTTTCGTACTGTCTGAGACCCGTACATGCATTATCATTACATTTCTGCATTTCTGTGTTGCAGGAGTTGTTGTTTCTCAGGACTGGGGTGTGTCTTACACACCGAGCTACATCTGTGCTCTAAAGGGATCTACAGTGACCATGGGCTGCAGATACACATATCCAACTAGGTACACAGTTCAGAAAACCTTCTGGAGCAGAGAGCTGGTTAAAGATAAAGAGCCTCCAGAGCTGACTTCAGACCCAAAGTACAGAGGCAGGGTTCAGTACCTCGGAGACAAATGGCGTGACTGCAGTCTGAGACTGAGTGATGTGACAGAACAGGACCAAGGCAAATACTACTTCAGATTTATAACAACAACCGATAAAGGAAAGTATCAAGGTAGAGATGGAGTTGACCTTTCAGTCACAGGTAAGCTACATCAGCTGAAATAACAACACACTGTACTTTATTCACCATTAAAAAAAATTTAGATTTACAACACTTGTACCACGATTTTCCATTCAAGAACTTAAAACTTCTACAAAGAAAACATTTATCTCAATGAACAGCTTTGTGAGAGCTAGCATTAGCTTTAGTTATCTAGCTAGTTAACAGTAAGTGAAGATAAAAAACTCACCAACTTGTCAGCTGAGCTAAATCTGTAAAATATTAGTGTGAACACTTTCCAAGTTAAAGTTAGGTAGATTTGCTATAAACAGATATTTTAGAAGTATCAAATGATTTTTAAAATTCTATTTATTCTATATGAAAAAGAAAAAACAGGCTTATTAGCTGTAACCCAAAACCATACAGAGGTATGCACTGCCATGCAGTACAGTAACAATTGCATTTCAATATGTTGACCATCAGATGTCACTAGTGTGCACAGTGTTTAAATGTTTCTAGTAATGAACCTTTTTTTTTTTTTTAGATATAGATTAGATTCAGCTTTATTGTCAGTGTGCAGCAAATGAAACTCAGTTTTCACATATCCTAAGCTGGGGTCAGACATGATATGGCACCATTGGAGCAGATGTGAATAAGGGCCTTGCTCAAATGTTTAACAGTGGCGGCTTAGCAGTGCTGGGACTTGAACCCCCCGACCTCCTGATCAGTAACCCAGAGCCTTAACCGTTCAGCCACCACTACCCTACATAGTCGAAGTAATGCTTTAGACAGCTTCATTCTGATCTCACTAACAGCTCAGTGAGAAAGGCTTAGACTCGCTACAGACACAGTGCTGGAGTGAGAAGTGGTAAAGTGTGTTTGGCACTGCTATTTAAAGAGAGTAGTCTGACTGCACACAGGGGAGAGTCATTAGTAATCAGGTGACTGTGAAGAGAGAAGCTTGATTAGAGGTCATGTATAAGAATCGTGGTTGTTGTACAGATGGTGGGTGACCTTAATATTTTTGTGTAGTAGCACAGGATTCATTTCTCCTAGCACGTGTGAAAATACTGTTGTAGAGTGCAATCCTAAAAAGGCCTTTAAAAAATGTACTATGGACATCAGCAAACACAGGGACAGGTGTTTAGCATCCACAGACACCATCTCACACATGTGCAGAAGAAGCTCCACAGTACTTACTCTCCCCAAATATATAAACAATTACTCATGTTTAATAATTAAATATGTTGCAAATATTTACAAAGACCTAATACTTAAAATATATTTCTGAGTAGTAAAATGGCAAGTTGCTGTACTTTATGAGCGGTGGCTCAATCTGAGGTGCAAGTAGCTACATGGTTTAAATTCAATTTTAGTTCCATTTGCAAATTTCCAAAAATCTCTTGGATTGGTGTTTGGTGTAAATATATGATGTAAATAAATATAATGTCAAGCTAAATAATAAAAGTTATAAACAGGAGAACAGACAGTAATCCCCACGGGCTGCACTACATGTTTCCGTCTTTCCTCTCATTCACAGAGCTTCAGGTGGAGATGATTCCTGATAGTGTGGTTGAGGGAGCTGAAGTCACTCTCACGTGTAAAACCACCTGCAGCCTGACTGTCACCTGGTACAAACATGGAAGCCGTTTATCCTCCGCCTCCTCCTCTGACCCACTCCGTCTGCCATCAGTCAGTCAGAGGGATGCAGGCAGCTACAGCTGTTCTGTACAGGGACAAAATTATCGCTCCCCCGCTGTCACTCTTGATGTCCAGTGTAAGTACATTTATTCATTCACTTATATAACTAACAACACTAAAACTTCATGCTGAATCCACAGGTAAAATGTTACTGTACTGCACACTTACACCTACTAGAATATTAGAGTACTAGCATACTCGCACACTTGCTAACTAGAATAACTGTGTACTTAAATACTCCCATACTTGAGTAGTAGTATATTTAAATACAGGCACACTTGCAAAATTTAAAGCAAACCTACAGACTCACATACTTTCACAGCAGCTAACTGCCGACTAGCATAATAACTGATTAGAATATTTGATATTAGCATGCATGTGTATTAGCATACTAGCATATCTACACACTAAAATACTTTAATATTAACATGTGTATTTGCATGCTTGCACATTTGGAATATTTGCATATTTAACATAAATGTGTATTAGTGTACAAGCATATCAGCACAGTAATAGAATTAATATTAGCATACATGTGTATTAGCATGCTGACGTACTTGCACACTGGAACATTTGACTATTAGCATACGTCTGTGTATACTAGCATAGATACTATTTTAGTTTTTTTTTTTTTTTTTTTTTACTCTAACATGAACAAATGTTTAATTAAAACTGTTTGTGATTTTATGACATTTTTCAATAATTTCACTGCTGTTGCTTTTTACATCAATTAATGCGTTACTGCAGTAAAACATGAAGTAATGATGGCTTTCATAGTCTGATTATTATAAAAGAAAAACCTTCATACTGTGCAGTTTGTGTTTCTATCTCTAGATCCTCCAAAGAGAGTCTCGGTGTCCATCAAACCCTCTGGTGAGATAGTGGAGGGGAGTTCAGTGACTCTGAGCTGCAGCAGTGATGCTAACCCACCTGTGCAGACCTACACCTGGTATAAAGGAACATCCTCTATAGGAACAGGGCAATCTTACACCATCAACAAGATCAGCTCTGAGGACAGTGGAGATTACACGTGCCAGGCTGAAAATACACACGGACTTCAGTCCTCTACTGCTGCGTCTCTGAATGTCCTGCGTGAGTTAATGATGATTCACTACGGTCTGTTATACAACGTCCTGATCCTCAGTAATCTGAAAGATAATGAAAAGTATTTCCTTTGTATCAACGTACTTGCAAACTAGAATACTTTAATATTATTACATAATTACACACTAGTATACTTGCATACTTGTGTATTTGCATGCTTGCACATTTGAATATTTGAACATTAGCATAAAGGTGTACTAGCATACTAGCACACTAGAATATTTGAATATTAGCATACATGTGTATTAGTATACTTGCCTAGTAACATATTTTAATATTAGCATATGTGTATACTTGCAAGCTAGCATTGTTGCATACTGAGACACTAGTATACTTTAAAATTATAGAATACTCATTCATTCAACGTTCATACACATCTGTACACTAGCATACATACTATTTTATTTGCATCATATCTTTTTTTCTAACTCTAACATGAACAAATGTTTAATTAAAACTGATTTTATGACATTTTTCAGTAATTTCACTGCTGTTTTTTTTGGGGTAAATTAATGCATTACTGCAGTAAAACATGAAGTAATGATGGCTTTCATAGTCTGATCATTAAAAAAGAAAAACCTTCATACTGTGCAGTTTGTGTTTATATCTCTAGATCCTCCGAAGAGAGTCTCAGTGTCCATCAGACCCTCTGGTGAGATCGTGGAGGGCAGTTCAGTGACTCTGACCTGCATCAGTGATGCTAACCCACCTGTGCAGACCTACACCTGGTATAAAGGAATATCTTTTAAAAGACCAGGACAATCTTATATCATCCACACGATCAGCTCTGAGGACAGTGGAGAGTACAAGTGCAAGGCCAGAAATCGATATGGAGAGAAATACTCTGATGGAGTGAATCTAAATATTTTGTGTAAGTATTGCACAGTTCGAGATAATAAAACCTGCCGACATTCATACACATATTGCGTTAAAACTTAAATATCTTGTGTTTTGTCATGTTTTGTATCTTTCAGATCCTCCAAAGAGCATATCAGTGTCCATCAGTCCCTCTGGTGAGATAGTGGAGGGCAGTTCAGTGACTCTGACCTGCAGCAGTGATGCTAACCCAGTGGAGTATAACTGGTATAAAGGAACATTATTTAAAAGCAAAGAAAAAAACTACACCATTAACAAGATCAGCTCTGAGGACAGTGGAGAATACAAGTGCAAGTCCAGCAATCAATATGGAGAGAAATACTCTGATGGAGCGACTTTAAACGTTTTGTGTGAGTGGTTGATTGTGCAGGTGGCTGGCTGACGTCCACTGAGCCACTGGTTCTCACTTAAATATTCTTAAGCTTCTCTTATTACCCTTTTTTTTCAGATCCTCCAAAGAGCATCTCAGTGTCCATCAGTCCCTCTGGTGAGATAGTGGAGGGCAGTGCAGTGACTCTGACCTGCAGCAGTGATGCTAACCCACCTGTGCAGACCTACACCTGGTATAAGGTGGATGAAAGCTCACCTCTAGGATCTGGACACAATTACAGTTTCACGTTGAGCTTCAGCAGCAGTGGAAGGTTTTTCTGCGTGGCTCAGAATAAATACGGGAATCAGACAGCAGCTGCAGTGCCTCTCACTCTAAAGGGTATTACAGTTATTATAACAAATAATACTTTGTAGCTTTGATAAAGGTGCATGAGTTATAGCTGACTAATATTTGTCTGCACACAGGGGGCACAAGTGTAGTTCTGTATGTAGTTTTTGGAGTCACAGTTGGATGTGGATGTTTATTTGCCATCATTGCCATTTTATTCATGAGGTAAGCATATGCATCTTTTTTTCATCAACATTTTTCAATAGCTGAATGTTTGCAACTTGAACCATAACATTATTATTACTTTTAGGAGAAAGAAAAGGGGAGGTTCAGCTGAAGATGCCAAGTCAAAGGTATTGGAATGGCACAGTGTGACTTAGTGCTTTGATACTAATTTGTTATTTGCCATTCCTTTTTTTTTTTTTTTTTTAAAGATTATTCTACTTTGTACCACAGTTTATGTGTAGGGGTCTGGAAAACCCCTGAAATTCTGGCAAATTGCCAAAAAAGAACGTTTGGCCCAAAAGGGTTTTTTTTTTTTTGCCTCCAACAACTTTATGAAACCTAAAATATATATTGCCAAAACAATGTGGAAATGTTTTTTCCTAATTCTTATTTGCAAAGATCATGTTGGGGAAAGAGCCAGTTTAACAAATGCAGTGGTATAAACAGTGAGTCAGGCTAAAGATGTCCTTTACCCTCTACCCTTGCTAGCTGTCATTTCCTCATGTCACCTTTTGATCAACATGTTGGATAGCAAAATGGTCATATGCATATTATACCTCATGCTGGAAAACAGCACAACATAAACGGCTGTAGAAAGTTGTAGTAATAATCAACATTACACAAAGAGCATCCGCATAATGCAAAAGAGCAGCGGTCAGGGTTTAGTCTTGCAAATATGAGTTCTACCTTTTATAGAAAATTTTCTTCACTAAACATAGCAAAAAGCCACCTACTTTTACAAGAAGCCACTGACATTGTAACACTGTTTTCAGACAATTCTTTTCATTCTATTGTAGGTTGTTCCAGAAAGCTCAGTGTGTTACTGTGTTTCGAAGTTGTTTTTTTCATTTAAAACTAGTGTTTGGAAGTGTGTGTATACCCGCATATCCAAATAACTATTAATATTTTAAGCTTGTAGCCAGCTATAAGTATACCAAAGAGATTAGCCATTAGCCAGGGTCTATCATGACCTGCACAAACACACCAATCTACCTAACTCTCTCATTGCAAGATGATTTTTTCGTATATTACCTGCAAAATGTATTTTTCCCACTGTAGGAAAAGACCTACAGCAATGTGAACTTGAGTGCTGCAACCAACAATCCAACACCTGCTCCAGATCTGGTCAATCAGGATGATGTTCAGTATGCCAGTATCCAGCACCAGCGTGACCCCCACAGGGCAAAAAGTTCTCCAT